CCAAGTTCCAGAACTCTACCATGAACATTTCCAGAGATACGCAGTATGAAAAATTTGGTTTGTATGGGAGATGCCACACCCCTTTTTACAATAGCTTAAATTTTTCTCCAAGGGTATGCGATTGATTTCGTACATCTCCATACCAAGTTCCAGAACTCTACCATGCACACTTTCAGAGATATTTAGCATGAGAAATTCGGTTGGCATGGGAGGTACCACTCCCCCTTTACATATTGATTTTTTTTTTTAGCCTAAAACCATCCTTGGGACACGTGCGGCAGGTAGCAGTTTCAAAAAAATCGGTTCAGCCGCTCTCGAGCCTTGCGAAAACTAAAAACGGCTTTCAAAATATATATATATATCAATGTTTCTGATTGGCGCAAAAATATCTTGCTTAGTGAAGAATTCGCCCCTTGACATGGTGGTTGCTCAAAGCTATTTATATTCGAAATTGCATGAAAACTGGAAAACAGGAATCTATAAGCTTATCCAGGAAAAAAGCTACCTACATAAGTACCGAATTTTAAGCAAATCGGACCATAAATTCGATTTCTTCGAATAGATCGGTCCCTGGTCCACTTCTCGGAAAACATGGATCATATATGCTAATATATGCTAAAAAACTACCTACGTACCGAATTTTAAGCAAGCCGGACCGTAAATACGATTTTTTCGAATAGATCGGTCCCTGGTCCACTTCTCAGAAAAAATGGATCATGTATGCTAATATGTGCTAAAAAGCTACCTGCGTCCCGAATTTTAAGTAAATCGGACCGTAAATACGGATTTTAGAAATATATCGACTGCAGCGCCACCTATCGACATTAGTTTTATTCTATAACACTCCCAGTGATTATATGCACCTACCGTAAAAATTTCATTAAAATCGGTTGGGTACTTTTGACGCCTATAAAGGACATACAGACAAACATTCATTTTTATATATATAGATATTAGTAGGTACAGTCTGAAATTTCCATTTTTTATCCCTGGTTCACAACATGAATACTGTCACATATCGAATCTGTTTAATGAGTTTTGCAAGCAAACGATTACCCGACTGAGAAGTCGTTCGGGTGCATATATTGGGGCATATTCATCGTCGACATAAAATCGATTATAGAGCTAATTGCTGATATTCCATTGAAAATTGTGACAAAAAGCAGCAACTAACTTTAATGCCGACTTAATTTAGGCTATGAATACGCATTCTTCTGTTATATCTTCCTAACTAAATGCTGGAGCAGTGATTACACTGAACACCTGATCCTGGAGATATGTGCTCTATGCGGATTATGATTGCTCCCCTTGCTTCACATACCCTGCGCTACAATGTAAGTATAACCAGCGCTTAATAATATGACTCCGGTCCTAGAATGGATGTAATGCATGATCCAACTACACCAGATCTGACAAGATGAAGCAAAAGAGAAAAGTAATTTTCTGGCTGACGTTTGTAGTTTCGGCGCCATGTTATTTTCTTTGAAAAGTAAACAGAGAATATGTTTGTGCTAGCCAATTTATTATTTTTCTACGTGTTTTTGCAACCAATCACCGCGCACTTTTAATTACATTCGCACAAAAAAATTATTGAAAATCGCTTAAAAATCACTGAAATAAACCACCGACAAAATACACATAAAGAAAGAAGCAAAACAGAAATAGCAAACTTCAAAATTACGAACGTCCAGCAGCATGTGGTTTCATCAACCCCTTTGCGCCAGACGCAATTGTTTATTAGAGTGTTCCGTGTTATCGAAAGCGCACTCCCGTTCGTTGCAGAGTGTGCGAGCCGAAATCCCACATCCGTTTTCCCATCATTAGTCTCAGAGCTTCGTCGCCAATGTGCTGTTTCTTAAAACATGTGGGCGGTGTCTTAAAAAACAAAGCGGTTTTACGCTTTTCGTGCAGTTGCAGGGGTTTAAGTCCGCAAAGCTTATTAAAACCTTTCCCGTTTGACACCTATATTTAAATATTTCATTTAACTTGTCAATTAAAAACTTTCTTAACCCTCTGTCGTTTGATACCATATCAAAACATTTATTTAACTTTTTAAGTAAATTTATTATGAATCAAAATCATCAAAAATATTAAAAAATAAATTTGTCTTAAACCTTTAAATATTTCATTTAACTTGTCAATTAAAAACTTTCTTAACCCTCTGTCGTTTGATACCATATCAAAACATTTGTCTAACTTTTTAAGTAAATTTATTATGAATCAAAATCATCAAAAATATTAAAAAATACATTTGTCTTAAACCTTTCTCATTTGGCACCCATACTAAAATATTTGATTTAAATAGATAGTTAAGTTGATTTTATGTTTATGAAAAGTTAGCGACTCACTTCAAAAATATTTTTGAACCGTTTGTTTGACACCCATATTGTTGTAATATTCAAACTTAAAAATTGTTGATTTTAACTTTTGAAAAAGTGGCATCCCCCTTCTACAAGTGTGCCAAAATGAAAGAGCAACAAACAAACAACAAACTTACTAACTCACAAACATTCACATTTATAATCTTAAATTTCCAAAAGGGTGGCAACTATTCAAAAATATTTTCAAAAGAAAGCTTTCTTAACTTTCTCTCGTTTGATACCCATGTTAAAATATTTCGTCTAACCTTAAAAGTAAATTGTATTTGAATTTATTAACAGGTGGCAACCCTATTTAAAAATATTTAGAAATAAAATTGTCTTAAACCATTCTCATTTGGTACCCGTACTAAAATATTTGATATAAATAGTTAAATAAATTGATTTTAAGTTTATGAAAGGGTGGGTACTCTGTTCAAAAATATTTTTGAAATAAATCCTTTTCAAACTGGCTTTGTTTGACACCTACATTGTTGTAACATTTTATCTAACTTGGATAAAAGGTTGGTTTTAACTTTTGAAAAAAGTGGCAACCCCCTTCATAAAAAATCGTGTATGCCGAGCTGGGCGATAAGGATTACGATTACTAAACGATTAGGATTGCAGTAATCCCAACAAGCTAAAAAAACCAAGATTATGATGACAGTAATCCTTCATCGAACGAACTTAGATTACGGTTACAGTAATCGTAATTTATAAAAATCTAAAAATTGCGATTTTATAAAAATGTAAAAATTACGATTACTGTAATAGTAATCCAAGTTCGTTCTATGAACGATTACTTTAATTGTAATCCTGTATTGTTTTATTTGCCGGTTATATAAAGTTTATTTCGCCCAAACTACTTTACCTATTACTAGCCGGCCACGGATGCGCGATGCTTCGCCACGCTCTGAATGTATCCATAGTATGTACATTTACGTATTTGGAGAAAGAAATCATATGTCATCATGTACTTATTATATACATAACAAATCTTGTCTAAATCCCTTCAGTAGCGGGGTTAAAATATCTCTCCTCTCCTTTATATTGTGTATAGAAGATAGTAATTTTAAAGAGGTGGCAACCCTACTCAAAAAACTTAAAGTTTTTGTACATGCGAAGGCCATGCACTTTCATTTGGTATCTTATTTTTTTATCCAACGAACGGTGAAGATCTTATAGTTTAGTATAGGTGGCAACCCTACTCAGAAAAATAATACATTATTACACATCCAGAGGTTAGGTCTTTTCGTTTGACAGTGACGATGCCGAACTGATGCCTACGCTTATTATGATTGAATATGTTGAATATGGTAATCTTATTAACAGGTGGCAACCCTATTTAAAAAAATATGAGTTCTTTTCTAGAGGCCGCTGCCTTTCATTTGACTCCTCATCTTTTGTAACCTAACGAACGAAAAAATTCAAGATGGCGGCACTAATATGGCGACCAGAAACCCGAAAAAGTACAGTGAAATGCTTGCAAAAATCAAAAAAAAAAGCAATCACGTTGGACTGTTAACTGAAATTTTAGCCACTACACACCCTTTAAAAGATAT